CCTCCCCTCCCATTTTCACCTTGTGCCAAAAGCAACATGATTTATGCTTCTTTGGGCAGCTCTCTTGCCTCTCTACTTCTAAATTAAGTCATTCCATTTCCCGTATCCAAGTACAGACACAAATGTTGTGTAAAGGACACATCTCTGCCAAATACCTTCTGTGTCAGTTCTTTTGTGCTCCAGTGCTAAACCCTTTCTCAGGAAGTGTCAGCCCAGGAAGAAAAATCTGCAGTGCTGTTTGGTTTTGGCACTTCAGTCCTTCAGCTGCTTTCGGGTGGTCCTGGAAACATTAAAGACCAGCCCCCTGACAGTTTTCTTTGTAATTGACTAATTCAGCCTGGAAGTGGCACTTTTAGTACAGTGAGAGTCAGGCTGGTATTAAGGCTGCCTTTAAGTATATATGTGTTGGACAATGCACATGAGCTGACATGCAAAATGGCAAAATACTGTTTCCACTTGCAGCAGGAGAAACTTTGTAGAATTTCGCTCCTGCTGTAATAAACATCTAGCTTTGATTTTTTTTTTTCTCCTTGAGTCAGTTGAGTGCTTGTCAAAGTGAAGGGAAAATAGCACAGAGCCGGAGCAGCTACACATACGCCCAGTGCACACTCCCCTCACCCAGCTTCTCCTGGCAGGTGCCCCTTAATTCTATCTAGATTACACCTTTCTACTTAACAATTAATCCCTCCTTTCACTCCCCAGTTTAGGCAAAATAAAAAGTGATTCTTGCCCGTGATGCTCTCGCCTACTTCAGTCCAGGGACTCTGGTGTGTGGAAACAGCTAGTCCAGCTGAATTTTGCGGGGGCTTGGTGAATTGCATGAATAGGGACTAGGATGAAACCCACTAATAGTCACTTTGCTCTAGAGCAGGGGTAGGCAATCTATGGCACGGGTGCCAAAGGCAGCACGCGAGCTGATTTTCAGTGGCACTCACACTGCCTGGGTCCTGGCCACCGGTCCGGGGGCCTCTGTATTTTAATTTAATTTTAAATGAAGCTTCTTAAACATTTTAAAAATCTTATTTACTTTACATACAACAATAATTTAGTTATATATTACAGACTTATAAAAAGAGACCTTCTAAAAATGTTAAAATGTATTACTGGCACGCGAAACCTTAAATCAGAGTGAATAAATGAAGACTCGGCACACCACTTCTGAAAGGTTGTCGACCCCTGCTCTAGATCCTGAATCTGGGTCTCCAAAAGCACAAGGGAGAGGCTGTAATCCACCGGCCCTCTGCGTTCCTTGAGAGTCCTTAACACAAATGTTAATTAGCACCAACATGGTTTGGTCTTTAGTTTGTGGCTCTAGCCAACAGATCAACATGTGCAAGTGTTCCAATGTGATTTGTATGGAATGGATATAGTCCTTGTGTAATAACCGCTTCTCCCTGGGGATGGAGATCAACGGGGGATTTGAGGGCTATTTCCTTACAAGCCTTTCGGGCTGGCTTCAAAGACTCCAGAAGGGCTATATGGTGTCACTAGCCACTTCTCTGGGGAGTTTCTACTGTATGGTTCTCTACTTGTTTTTGCAACATAGATCTGTTGCCATAATGATTAGCCCATTGAAAGGAAACCATTATAATTGCTGTTCATGTTTTGGCTTATACATCCCCGGATCAACTTAGAATTGGGAATACATTTAATTTTAATGAAGCAAATTTCATTTGCATGTATAAAACATGTTCTCAGCTTGTTCATCACTGAGGCATCTTAGCCAGTTGGGTAAATGCAGTATGTCAAATTTGGCTCTTATGCATTTGTATAAAAATACATTTTACCCATAGATGCCTTAGCATCTAATGTTACTTGTGTCATCTGTACCTTTCTGAATAGCTCTCAGATTTCATCTTAAAACTTGTTAATTATTGGGAAAGTGTATGCACCAGTAATTTGATGGAAGCATTGCAAAAGTCAGCAACCAATATTGCTAGTATTACTCACCAGTATTTGATTAATTCTCTTTAGTATCTGTGACCATGCAAGCTGTGAACGCCTCAGACTTCATGAACTACACAGTGTTGGATCTGGGTTATTACTTGGATGGGGGACCTGGAAAAATCATTTGCTGCAAGAAATTATGCTAGTGCTTCAGTAGGCGGCGCTCTTCCCTCTGCATCTAGCAATGAAGCCGAGCATGATGTCGAGTGGTGCTGTTTCAGATGAGAGGTAAAACCAAGATTTTGACTGCTAGTGGCCATTGCAAATCCTAAGGCCATTCCTGCAAGAGTCAAAGCGTTCACCCTGGTGTCCTCAGTTCCTGCCCTAAACTTATGTAAAGTTGCTGTGTGCTGTTAAACAGGAGTTACTTTGCTCCCCAAAGGTGGCTGCATTGGGGGAGGGGTATAAAAGACCCACAGTACAGCTGTGGCTGGCCCAGGTCAGTTGTTTCGGATATGGGCTGTGAGTCTATGAAATTGCTTTGTAAACATTTGGGTTTGGGCTGAAGCCTGGGCTCAGAGAGCCCAGAACTGGGGAGGGAGTCAGGCTGACCTGTGCTCTGAGACTCGGTGGAACAGGTTTTCTGACACAGTGTACACATATTCCCTGAGGGTGCTCAGTGCTGTGCTCTCCACTCCCATTGAAGTCCATGGGAGTTGAGGACACTCAGCAGCTCCCATAAAGTGCCTTACACCTTGCAGGGTTGTGCCTGAAGTCCAGCGCTAAATGACACATCAGCAAGATTGACAGACCTGAAATGTGAATTCCTAACTAACCATCTTTCAGAAGTTCTGACCAGATCCTGAAAAATCTCTCAGACCCACGAGCTGCATCATGATTAAAATCCCAGTTCCCCTGGTAGGTGGAGAACCACCCAACAAACCCCAAGTAGGCAGATGTATGTGCTACAACACCTGGCTTGTGTGTCGCTGCATGACGACTCATTGCTCTGGCTCAGAAAATGAGAATTAGTTTTTCGTAAACTCCTACTATCCCTTTGTTTTAGTTTATGGGCAATAGAACTTCTCTGAGACCCCACTATGACACACGCTACCTTAAAGTAGCACCCTATAACCCCCATATTCATCTTTTATATATGGTGGTGATATTTCATACAAGGCATGCCAGGTGAGAGATCATATGGAAGGTCGTGATCTGCTGAAGCCCATTGTTCTGTCAAGGTATGTATATCATTGGTCTGTATGAAGTTTGAGATTCTGTTACAGTTGTTTTTGAAATATATTGTGAGTTTGGGAGTCACCCACTGCTGTTTCTCCAGTGACAGAGGTGATCCACATCCAGGTGGGGGTTGGGTGACCATTGATCAGCAGTGGAGTTGTGATTTACAATTCTGTAGGAGAGTTGTGCAATCACCACACAATGCGCTTTGCCCAACTCTGGGACTCAGCAAAGCCCACCAGGACATGTCTGGGCTAGTCTTTTCCAGGGTCATGGACTGAGGGTATAAAGTGGGGGACAGTGACATCATGCGATTACCTCTCTCCTCCTTCACCTACACTGACGGTATCAAGAACGTTGGGAAGACAAAGACTTGAACTGCAGATCTTGGTCCCAGGCTGAGACCATTGTTTGTGTGTTTTGCACCTTGTGCTCTGCTGTGAAATGCATTCATACAAATATATGGTACTTTCACATTACCCAGCCACTTACTTCATAGCTTAGGTTGTGCTGCTGTGATTTGGTTTCTGTCCAAGTAATTTGAATGTTCACTGCAGCTAATTTTCCTATGTTCAGTACGTCACAGTTATCGGTGCTCCCTCATAGGGTTTGTTTGTTTTCCATTTAACAGGTAATTATTTCCTTAACTGATTTGCATATTTTACAGTGTATTTCACCATAGTGGTATGTTTGTTGTGGTTACACTGTACTCACTGACTGGTGAAAGTCTGACCACAGAGTAATCGCGTTGCTGCATTTACAGTGAATGTGTCGTTACAGTCCACTTTCCATCACATTTTACAACTGGAGTTAAAGGGCCACTTAGTGAGTGGACAGCCATGAAGGAAATTGCTCAACCAATGGTGAATGTTTCACTAAGACTTGGTGTACACTTAAAAGCACTACAAGTCTAACTATTTCTGTTAGGGGAGTGATTTTCACTTTAAAAGAAAAAGTTATACTGGTAAAAAGCCCTACTATGGATGTAGTTATAGTGGACAAAAGGTGACTTTTGCTGGTTTAACTTATTGCCCTGCCCCTACAAGAGTCACTAGAATGCTATAAGCATCTTTCTGATATAGCTGAGCCCACAGTAGGGGAGACTGTATAACGTTCGCTCTACTGCTGTAGTCAAAGAGAGTACAACTTTTCTACTGTAAACAACTCCTGAGAGTCTGATCCTGTGCTGTGCTGAACACCCTCACTGCTCAGGGACTGTCAAACTCTGTAACAGAACAAACAGGCACAAAGCATGGATGAAACTTCAATCAGCGATGCAGTGCTTAGAGTGACTGCATGTTTTCCGCATGAAATTCTCCTTTGTGCACTTGGCTGTGTTGTTTTATGGCCCTGCCTGTCTCCCGCACTAGAGCATACCCCTCCTTCACGCCATCGGGACAGGAATGAGAGGAGAGAGCAGGGCGAGGGTACTGTGCATTCCTTCAGGGTAAAGTAAATGCTCCTTTGCCACCTCACCTAGGTGAGGATGCAGTGACCCAGCGCTGGGAGAGGGAGGATCCTTGTGTGAGGCAGGAATGCGTAACTCATGAACACAAACACACACTTTGATCCTAAGCCGCCCAGAAGTTCTGCAACTTCAGGAGAGCTGGGCAAGGCTGTAGCTGCCAAACGGCGTCACACCGAAGGTGCTGGCAGGGAAGGGGGAGATTTTCAGCTCCCCTTGCACCGTCTGGTTGCTGGGTTCCTCTGAGGGCCAGTGTAGCCCGCTGTGTAATTACAACGCTGCACCCGGGCACCTCGCCAGTGGAGCAGAGAGAGGGGGCACCAGTGCGGCTCTCGTGCTCCCTGAAGTGGCCCTTCCCTGTTGTTCGCTTGGCAGCTGCTTGGTCTCGGCTTGGGGAATCGGGCCTCTCATGGTGTTTGTCGCCACTGCTGTGAGCCCGGCCCGCTGCCACCCACTCTGGCTCCTAGGATTTGTAGCGCTGCTGCTGCCCGGGGCTTGCGGTGAGTGTCTGGGGCAGGGGCGGCTGTGCTGGGACCCCTGAGGGGCCGAGAGACCCCAGCGTGCCGGGCCAGGCTCCCTGCAGTCTGGGGGCTGTGGACGATCCCAGCCTGAGCCCCCCACGGGATGCCCTCGCCGGGACTCTGCCGGACCACGCAGGGAGCCGCTCCCCAGGGGCTGGCTTTGGCCCTTAGGTTGTCTCCAGCTGTTGCTGGGGCCTTGTGGGGATCCCCGGGCTGTCAAGGGGGGAAGGGGGACACTTGTCTGGATCAGGGCCAAAACCTCAGTAACTGACGTGAATGGAGTGGGGCCCAGCAGACAGATTTTTCTTGAGGGGCCCTGCGCCCCTTCCTAGTTTAAACCCCTGGCTGTGGGAAGCCAGCCAGTCTGTTCTCACAGGGTACTGGGGAACACCCTCCCCCCACCCCCAGCTGGGGCTCATCAGTCCTGTGGCAGGTCCCTGGAGGGTTTAAGGCACAGCTGGAGGCAGTGGTGTGAAATTATTTAAAATAAATATCTCCTATTAAAATGAATTTGTTTTTCTTACAGGTCAGTGTGGGGCTCTGCCAAGGCTGAGTCATGCCCTCCCCTCTGATACTAATCGCACAGAGGGCTTCCCCACCAACACACAAATGACATACAAGTGCCTTGAGGGTTTTGTTAAAATCCCAGGAAAGTCAGACACTGTCGTTTGCCTTTCAAACTCACAGTGGTCAAACATCGAAGAGTTTTGTGGTCGTAAGTATTTTCTTTTCTTTGCTTAGGCTACCTTTTGCTTATAAAATGTCAAGTCGTGTCCCATTGAATAGGTCTATTCAAAACTGCTTTAATAAATTCAGTGCCAAGTCCAAAGAGGAGGATGCAGGCTAGGGCCTGGCTGAGAGCTGTGGGTGGTCTGGACAAAGAAAAGCTGGGATCTTGGAGAAGTTACAAATGGGAGGGGACAAGATTTGGATACAACCAGGATGTGAGAGTTCGTAGAAAGATCTGAGTCAAAAGTGATGACCACATTGCAGCTGACAGGATGGTGATTTTTTTTAATCAGTGGTGACTACAAGTGTAGAGAGGAGAAAGGTTTGGGAGGGAACAAGGGCTCTTTTTTTTCCCCCTCATGAATCGTTTAAGCTGCTGACAGGGCATCCAAAAGGGAGATTTGAGAGTCGTCGGTATAAATGATCACAGAGAGAGAGGATTCTCTCCTCAGCACACCTCTTTTCGTTGTACACCCAATCAAAGTTTTGCTGAAGTGGTATTGGGAGGATCCACCAAATTGGACCTCAGGGTATGAGACTGAAGAAATAATAGGAAAACTGTGAGAGGATGGAATGAAAAAAAAATAGATGATCATGACGACCGCCAATAATAGGGATGGCCAATGTTGTCAACAGGAGGATGAGAATGGAACAGAAGTTCTAGAACTGCGGCAGAAGGAAGATGCAGGACACTTCAGTGAGAGATGCTTCAGTAGACTGGAGAGCATGGATTCAGACTGGCGGAGGTCTAAGGGTTAGAGCTGGGAAAAGAAGACGGTGCAGCGGTTGTAAACAGAATAATCAGTTAGTTTGGAGATCAAGGGGAGAAGGGAAATCTCTCCTTGTCTTTCTTCGTGCTGCACTCCACCCATACCTTCTTTCTCTTTACTGCTTCCTTATTTTGTGCCATCCACTGTGCTTGGAACAGCCCCCAATAACTTTGCCCAAGGTGCTTGCCTCTCTTCCTTAAATAAATTAAATTCCCCTCTCCACGCAGACACATTGTATGATGTGTCTCGGGTACAATGATCGTACGCCATTCTGTAACTGTACAGCTGACGCCACCAGCTCATAAACTTTTTGGCTGGGTATCTGTTACCTGTTTGGTACCCTTCATTTATGTTACAGTGTCATGCGCACTGAGTGTTGTGTGTGCTTGACATATAAACAGAAAGCGAAAAGTACAGATTTTCTTTTTATCTGCTTTTAGAGCTAACTAGTTCAGTCCTTGTTTTTTGTTTTGTTTGTTTTATTGCTAGGCAGCTGTCCTGCCCCACCAAGGTTAAAGTCTGCTGTGTTAAGTGATGAGGATTTGAGGAAGAATTACTATCCTGCTGGGACCAATGTGAGTTATGTCTGTCGCCCAGCTTATGAGAGAACTGAACTGAGTCCTGTTACTACTTGTCTTGAAAATTTAACATGGGTGGAAGCCCCTGAGTTTTGTCTAGGTGAGTATCTTTTATTACTTTTCTGTCTCCATTGATCTACTAGCCATCTTTGGGCAGTTAGGACTGTCTTCTGTTAAGCAGCTGGTTCGCATTTCAGCCCTGGCTTCTGTGACTTGTAGTTTGAAATATGTTTTTGTTTTTGTCAATTGATTGTAAATTTAAATTGAACTTTAAATGGAAGTAGAAAAGTTAAATGGGTACCACTGAGCACTAGACAGTTAGTACTTCCCATAGTTAAACTTCTCCTTGTGTTTGTGGCCTTTTCCATTCCCTGTTCCGTAATGGGAGTAGAATATCACAGATAATGCAGTAAAGTTAATACCATGATGTGGTAAATGTCCATTTTAAAATGGTAAGCTTTGTAGCCTGGAAACCTACGTGTGAAGTAGACTAAGTCATACTATCTGTTTTTGTTAGATTTCATATATTGAAAAATTCTACCCTCAGAAACAATTAATGCAGGATACAATGCAACCAAACGGAATCATAGTATTAAAACTAAATCCAGTATTCAATATGTAGGGCAATGCTGATCAGATACCAAAATACATAGTAACATAAAGGAAAAAACTGCGTTTCATTGTGAAGAGCACTGTAAATTTTTTCAAACCTGCCTGTCAAGACTGCATCTGTTAAATTCAGTACAAAAACCTACATTAGTAATACAGGGTTAGAGGATCTAGCCAACTGAATAATCAACCTTAGCTCTGTCTCCTTGTGTTTGAGTATTGGATTATAGCTTATTGTTTGTCAAACGGAATATAATACTGTGGGAATTTCTTGTGTAGCCTTCAACACAAATACTCTGGCCTGCCTGATAAAGAAAATACTTTATGTGCATAATAGGCCATATGATTTTCTGTGCAAAAAACTTTTTGTGCATCAGGGCTGAGATGTTTACCAGTATAATCGGAAGTGTTCCTTGCATCTTTCTTTGTGGCTGCCTGAACATGTCATGTCTGTGTTGATCTGTATGTGGAGATGCTGAATTTCTGATAGTGTGATCTTTATGGTAATAAGTTTCTTCTGCTGGAGGAGAGCATCACAAGTAATTTGTTGTCAGAGGCAGTGGGAATCTCTGCCACTGAAGTTGATAAGGTGATATGATTAGACATTTAATGTGAATAGAATATCCACAGTTAAATGAAATAGGATAAAAAAAGACACGATACTGAAGTAGCCAGATCATTGGTCTGACATTGCCCTATTCTCTTCTAAATATGTTAGGGGTTTTTCCAACATCATAACATGCTAATATCAATCATGTTCTTTACTAGGAAAATCTTGTGGTGTTCCAAAAAACCCAGAACATGGCAGACCTGTTGATGCAACAAATAACCGGTTTGGTGCAAAAGTAAACATACTTTGTGATGATGGGTGAGTGTTGGACAACTGATGCTGATTAATTCACAGACCTTATCTTGGTGTAGAACTTCTGGTGACGACTGGAAAATTAAGACTAGAAAGTATGGTCTAACTTTCAAAACTTATTCTGAACCAGTGCTACAGTTGTGCAGGCCTGGCCTGGGGTACCTGTTTAAAAAGTAGAACCTTCAAACTAAGTTAGCCAAGTATGGTTCATGATCCCTCCCTCTTGCCCCCTCTTGAAAGATTAAGTTGAGAGGAAGAAGGAAGAGCTATGGTGTGGAAAACATTGGGTAACTTGCTCAGTTAATGTTGTTTTATGTATGGGGTTGTGGGAAGTAAGATGGGGTTGAACATGACAGTGATTTAACAGCTGATAACTCTGTCAAGGCCCATTTGGTTGCTAGGAGCCATCATGGAATATTGGTTCAATTTCCAGCAATTGGGTGAGGACCTTTGGAAGGGAGAATTGAGATGTGCTGGCTAGAAGTGGGTTTTTCTGGCACTTTGCAGGAGGTGGTAGGAGAGGATTCTCAAGATGCCAGAGACTAATTCTTGGGGGACTATAGGAGTCCAGGCTATTGAGAACGAGTAGTTGAGACTTTGAAGGACAAAGGACCCAGTAGCTTGAGAGAAGAAAGTCTGAGTTGTCATCTATTTAAAAAAAAAACATTCCCTGTGCTTGAGAGGGCACCTCTAGTTGAACAGTAAATGAGTTCATGGGTTTACTTGTAATTAATAAAGCAAGAGTTTGCTAAACCAGTCTGGACTGGAACTATGGTGATTGGTTATTCCTGCCGTGGCCTTCAAAGAGCATCTACTATATTTATCAACTCCTGGGAACAGGACCCTTGGAATATGGGAGCAAAGTGAGAGGTGACACAGTATAAAACTTCCATGTGCAAAGTTTGGTGGTAGCAGCAGTTATCCAAGCCCAGGGTGTGGGAAACCTGGCATCGTGACATAGAGTATCATGAGTTTTACTTCAGTTTGTTCAAGTAGTTATTTTAAGAAGCTACTGTGGCATATGGTGAGTTGTAGCATCATTAGATTGTGGAAGAACTTTCTGGACTTGAAACAGTTGAACAGATTGTCTTTTACTGGCACGAAATACATGTTACAAGCATGAGTATCATGGTAAAAATTAATATGGTTTTGTTAGATTCTCTGTGATGGGATCAGAGTTCTCTTCAAACCCCACAGATTGAGAGATACAGAATGCCCTTCCCCGTAGGTTAGCCATCGACCTTCTTTCCTGCTGATATAATCATGACAATTAGCTGTGTAATAGTGCTTTTATCAGCTATCAAAGAAGGTCATTATCATTATACCCGTTTTACAGCTGGAGCTATTGAAGCACAGAGGGGAAATAACTTGCCCAAGGTCATGCACAGGCCAGAGGCAGAACCAAGAATGGAATCCAAATCTCCTGAGTCCCAGTCCAGTTCTTTAGCCTTTAGGCAATACTTCATCTGAATTTCACCCACAAGAACATCCAAGCTATTGTTATGTTCATCATTTCCCCATGCAGTAGCATACAGGGACTGCGCACTGTGGAATTGTGTCTGCCAGTGAAGGCTTTGGGTTTAAATGGGCTGATTAGGCTTTGGACCTTTTAAAATGCTCAGGTTGTGTAAGAGTGGCAGCAGGGGGACAGCCCTTGGCCAGCTGTCTCCTCGCCCAGTCATTGCTGTCAGGAAAGGTTGTCTTTGGTTGTTACGTTTTAAGTTAGAAGAAAAGCAGTGGCCACTCGGCCATAAATGATGTTCGTGTCCATCCTTTTTGGTCCCTCCTTCACACCAGACTGGTGAAAGAACCAGAAGAAACCATCTTTAATAGGTTTCAGAGTAGCAGCCGTGTTAGTCTGTATCCGCAAAAAGAACAGGAGTACTTGTGGCACCTTAGAGACTAACAAATTTATTTGAGCATAAGCTTTCGTGGGCTACATCCCACTTCTTCGGATGTACATCTTTAATAGGTAAACCCTCACCTGGCCCTCTAAATCTCCTTTCTAAAACTCTAGCATAGAAGGCCACGACCTTTAGCCTACAGTGTTAAAAAGTAAAACGTAGTGAAAACCAAATGACTTAATTGCCAGTATTCAATACTTCCTGGCTAGGAATCATCTAGACGTCTAGATAAATGGTGTTGGCAATGGAGCGCTGTTGACTGTGGTAGAATACCAGATGTAAAATAGGAGGAGGAGTGGTGGAATTTAGCAGTCTGAGCCAAGGAGTCCCACCTCCATTTATATGGTGAAGGTATAGCATGCTAATGGCACACCTCTTGAACACTGTACTACAGATTGGAACTAAGAGGAGAGACATTCTCCTACTCACAAGTCCAAACCCCTTTGACCCATGTGAAAACTTTTTGAGAAGATGAAACAGTCTAAAAACTGCTAGTTCACTTGACATGCTTCAAATTCAGGAACTGGTTTAAGGACTTCTTCCACCTGCTGGAGATGCAAGAAATAAGAAGCACTAAAATGATACCGAGAGGAGAGAGACCTATTTGTTTCACTTGTTAAAGGTTTAACAAAGAGATCGCCCAGAAATTCCAAGCATCTGGTTAGTATAGACTTTAAGGTGAAAAATTTCTCCTGTAAACTTGGTCTTTGCAATCGTAGATGCACCGATTTGCTTGTTCTAAATTGGCTTTAATAACTCGGGATTGCTTCTCAGCATTGCCTGGTTACAGAGATCATGCTGGTTCTTCTAGAGCAGGAATCACCCTACTCAGTAGTTAATGCCTTCTTTTCCTGGCAGAAAAAACCCGTTTCCCAAGTGTATGGACTCTTACAGGAGCACTTAGAGAACTAAGAAACTTTTTTTTTCTTTCTTTTCTTTAGATACCGAGTAAGCGGGCGACCTTTCATCCAGTGTTCGCTTAACGGAGATCAAGTTGAATGGAGTGAACTTCCAACTTGCCAAGGTAAGACAATCACCATGGTTTTAAGAAGAGCTCATGACTGGAGGATCATGCAGAAATACCCCATTAGAGAGCTTTCATCTGTCTTTAATCTTATTTAATTTGGATTATAAGAGAATCTTGTAGATATTGTTGGGAGTGGAGAGACAGGCTGAAAATGTCTGAGGATCCGTCATGGTGCTGATGCCTTTTGTAGAATTAACACTTCAAACAAACACAACCCCATGGGTCCCCTACTTCCCTTCAAATAGTTCTTCTGGCACCGTCTCTGTACAGAATTTAGCTGGTCTAATGTCACCTAATCATTACTATATGCAGAATACTGAGATGGTGAGGTTTGGTTAGTTTCTCACTCTTCATTAAGTAATCTCTTCCTCCTTTAAAGTCTATCATCCTACTTTTTTTTATTTAGTGTAATTCCTCCTTGTTCTGTTCTCCTCTTTTCCTGTCCAAAAAACCTGAACTCCACATTCAAAATCTGAGGCTATTTGGGGGTGAAACCCAATATTAAAACCTCTTCCTAATTTATTTGCTTTAACTGTTTTTGTCCTTTTGGACACTACCTGAGCTGGGTCTGTCAACCTGACTGTTGCCATCTGGTCTAGAACCAGATGCAGCTAGAAGAAATGTCCTAATTTAAGCTTTCTGCTTCTGGCATTTGTAGGAGCGCAACATTGTCCTTCAAGGATGTCAGTCAAGGAGCCCCAGCTCCTTCTGTCTGTTGTTAGAGGGGGGTGTATGTTCTGATAAGGTTGTCTCTTGAGGTTTGTTTCATAGGGTCAAAATCTGCTAGAAGAAAGGAGTTGGCTTGGAGAAAAGCTTGAAAGCAGAAAGGGAGGCAATGCCTTGCATTATGTTACAATACAGTGCTAATTATATTTTCAAATAGCTAACTGGTTTTTCCCTTTTAGTGGAGATCATGGAGAAAGGTTTACTCAATATTTTCAATTCACCTCTAACTGAAATGTGCATTAATATTCATGATGCCATTCCCTTTTCCTTCAGCGATTACTTGTTCTCCTCCTCCTAATATTACCAATGGGATGCACAATGGCAGTCACCTGGAAAGCCTTGACTATAACTCATCGATAACTTACAAATGTGACCATAATTTTTCACTTACTGGAGAGGCCTCCATTTACTGTACCACTAGAGATAACATCAATGGAGTCTGGAACGGGTCTGCCCCTGAATGCAAAGGTGACTGTCTGTTTTTATCTTCCTCTTATTCTACTTTCTCCCACCAGATAAAACAATATTTTGATTGCTAGGCAAACCCATAAACATGAGGAAATTCAGTTAGGCATTAATCATTTAAATATATAACTTGTGGGAAACGTAGTTACTGTTAGAAACTTTAATCCTTAAAGAATGCTGACAATTCACATACACCCAAGGAGGAAGAGTTAAGATTGCCTAGGTAACCTTAATTTAATCATTTTCTAACTTCTGAGTGCTCACTTCACAACTTGAATAACTTTTTTCTACTGTGGGTTTTACGTAACTTCTGAGCTTTTTATAAAAAAAAATAAATCTATATGTAAATATAATACACCGTCCTCTGACTCCATGTGTCATCAGGGTTTGACTCTTGAACCTACAGCACTGCAGCATATCACATAAGCTAATGAATGAATTTTAATAGGTGGCAGCAGGAGTAAACTGTTATCTGAGGACCAACCACTAGAGGAGGATGCACAACACACTCAAACAATGAGTTTTATATGAACGAGTAGCCTTATTTTACGAGATCTGGGTTCTCTTCCTGCCTCGTGTAACTTTCATTCAGGGAGGATGCCTTGTTCAGTGATAACTTGGGGTTTGAAGGGCACATAATTGTTAACATCAGTCAGTGGAAAAAAATGAGTTGAATTCCTCGTCTCCTGGTTCCCAACACGGTGCACCTTCTCCTAGGCCAAAGGGTATTTTGATGCAAGAGAGAATGACGCATAGTGCTGAGTTGCCCACGGCAAGAACTTGCAGAGAATGCTCAGTGAAAACAGCATGTTCAGGGACTTTAGAAGTCACTCTAGCAAGTTCTGATGAGTAAAACTGAAGGGAAATGACACAAACTGTCAACATCTAACTCATGGTGACAGCAAGAGGCACCGCCCTGATCCTTTCACATCCCTGCTGCAAACCATGGAAGTGTTAGAGCTCTTAAAAAAAAAAAAAAGAAAAGAAAAGAAAAAAAAAGAAGAAAAAGAGAACTTTTGTAAAGGAAAGTGATAGGCAGCTCAAGGTAGGGGTTGCTTTGGGCTTCCCCTAGCATATAGCAATGGGATCCCAGCAGCAGTTTGCAGAGTAGCCCAACTGATAGTACATG